TTTTAATAAAATTAATAATGAATTTATTTTTATTTATTAGAGAAATTTGTTCATTAAATTATGCGATTATCTGTGATACATCAAAGAATTATTTTAATTATAGACATTTCACCAACTTACAGATATTTTATCAGAAGTTAATTAACAATGGATTTACTAATGAATTTATAGTTTCATTGTTTATTGAAGATCCTTTAAAAGATAAGAGACATCTTTTAGATAAAGTAATCCATTTAAACGATACATTAACTATTCCTTATGTTCAATTAAAACCAAGAAAGTTTAATCTAGACACTTTATTAAACATTCTTAACTGTAAAGATGAGAAACTTTATAAACTTGATGAAAATGACAACTTACTTATCTATTTAACTGGACATGGTAATGATGACTTTTTCATGTTACATAATAAATACTTTCTTATGTTAGATGATATCATGGAAGTACTATTCTACCTGTCAAAAAGATTAAATAAGGTTCTTTTTATATTAGATACTTGTCAAGCTTCTGCTCTCATAGATCAAAATTCTATTCCTAAAAACGTGACTGTTATTGCGACAAGCAGTGCTAATGAGTCTTCATTCTCAACTAACGTTTCTTATAATTTAGGTCTTAATACAGTTGATGATTTTGCTAAAAGATTTCATCAAATTCCTATAAAAAGAAAATTAAAAGTTGTTGATTTTTTTTCACCAGAGATATTTGGTACAATTACTTCTAATGTTATGGTGTTTGGAAATAAGACATTTAATATGAAAGATTTTTTCTATCAAAATCCAAATAAAAGAATTTTAAGACCTTTTAAGATTAAATAAATTTTACTTTATTTATTTGAATACTTTTCTCTGAAGATTCCTGGTTCAAAACAACACCTTTTAACATCCTCCCAAAACGATTGAATTATAATAAATGAATTCTTATAATTATAGATTCCATGAATAACAGGTTCTAGTCTATACATCTTATTATTTTCTAAATTACATACAAATTTAGTATCATATCCATAAATATCATTATATAGATACTTTACAGGTAAATCAATATTTTTAACGTTTCTTTCTTTTGTTTCCAAAAATATTCTTTCAATTTTATTATCATATAAAATAATAATTGAATCACCAATCATTAAACAATCATTTATCTTATTAGGAAAATCAATAATTTCTTTAAATAAGTTATTTTCTAATTTTAATAGGTAATTTATCCCATTTATAAAAATAAATGAGTTGTTTATTAAAATTTTATAGTCAATAAAAGGTGTGTTAATTTCCAAAGAATACTCTAACTTCTCTAATGTTTTCAAATCCATCATTTTTAAACATTTATTAGTTAAATAAAAAAAATTATTTTCTTTGATATTCATTGAAATAATATTTTCATCTATTATTGTCAAAATGTCAAAATCAAAATTATTATCAATCTTATAAACAATAGTTTGTTTTTTATTCGTATAAATAAAATATTCCTTATAGAACAACACATCATTGATAAAATCTTCTGATAAACTTTTTTGACATATCAATTTTTCTACAGGCTTATCCCAATCAATCTTTGTATTATTTTCAACTATACCATCCTCATGAACAATATCATTTTGTATATTAATAGTTTCACCATCATACTTATATACACACAAATTATCACCATTCAAAATATAGAAATACTCTTCATTATTTAAATCAAATGTTCCAGTAAAACAACTTGATTCATAAATTTTAAGATGTTTAAATGATTGATTAATAAAAATATTTTTTGCAATAAATGAATCTAAACCACCAGTATAGATATTTCCATTTAAATTATAAAGTGAGTTTACTTCAGATGTATGTACGGTAGTTTGAGAAATCTTACTCAAATCATTTAAAGAATAAACTATAATCCTAGAATCTTTACCACTACAATAAATAAATTCATTAGAAATCAAACAAATAATAGAAGTATTTCTTACTGTAGTTGAATTTAAAACAATATCATTAAGATAATCATAATTTAAGAGCATACCATTTTCAAGTGATATAATCACCCCTTTATTATAACAATTAATTGATGTAATTTTACCATCTAAAACACATTCTGATATTATCTCTAAATTAGATGTAAATACTTTAAGAGAATTAAGTTCTGTTCCTATGAAAATACAATCTTCTGTAATTTTAATAAAATTAATTACTTCTAAACTTCTATAAACAACTTCATTATTATCAAATCTTATAATATTCTTGTTATTAACGAAATAATTGATTTTAATAGAAGAATTAGAATTGTAATGTGATATTAACGTAACTAGAATAACTTCATTATGTTCGTCTTTATATTCATCGATTATTACACAACTTATTGAATTTAAATCAAAACTTAAATTAAAAACACTATTATTTACCGTTCTACAAACTAACTTATCATTCTGTTGATAACTTTGTAGTACTTCCTTTCCAATAAAATATCTTTTAATAACTGAATTTAGTTCTGTATCAATAAACTCACATATCTTGTTTTTTCTAAACACAACCAAATAACTGTTAAATGACGTAATGCAGGTAACTTCTGAATATGAAACAGTCTTTCTAAATAAATACCATTCTTTATTCTTTTTTGTTTGAGTTTTCATATAAAATTTTATTTTATCAAAGGGTTTAAAATTTTTATTAAAAAATTTAAAAGTTATTGTTATTTAATTTCCTTAACAATTTTAAATATTTAACAATATTAATTCAATAAAATTAAAGTTATTTTATTCAGATTTTTTTAAAAAATAGAATATTAATAAATAACTTTAAATTTAATAACAAATACTATTTTATAATTAAGTGGTTTTACATGTTTATTTTTTGAAAATAAAATTCTATAATTTAATCACATCAATTTTCCTAATTTAATATTATATAAACAAAAAAATTTATAACCCCATGATTAGAGAGATACAGGCTATTAATGAAACAACTAAAGAAGAATTCATTGTACAGAATGAAGTTAAATGTAAATTGTATACTTTTAAAATTAAGGGTGTTGATTACTCAGTGAAGGTGTCTCAAAACAATAAGGATGAAGAAATTTCAAAATTTAAACAATTTATTCAGAATTTGACTGATGAAAATTTTAAACATCTTGAAATTACTTTAAAAGACTTAGTTAATAGAGAATTAGATGTTATAAAAGACAGTCATTATAAGGAGTTACAAGAAATACATTCTGAGAGACCTGATATTTCTGCATTAGAATATCATCCTAATAACGATTTGAATTATCATGTTGGAGTTGAGTTACATGAAGTTATTAATTTACATGTTAATTTAACTACTAATAAGGTTAATCATGATTATGGTAGAGGTGATTTCTATCTTAAGGTTCTTGGTAACACTTATACCAATCTTTCCTTATTATTGAACTATGAGACAGCTATCTTACCTGATACAATTGTGGAAGATTTGGTTGCTAAAAATTCCTTAAGAAGAAATAATCAAGTTTGGGTAATTGATCCTAAGAAATTAAGAAAATTCACTAAGGTGTTTTCTTATCCAATTAGTTATTCTAAATTACCAATTTCTATTAACCCTTCATTTGTTAAGGTCAATAATGGTTACAAATCAATTTATTCTTTTAAGATGACTGAATTTGGTACTAAAGATAATTCATTTAATATTACTATCATTGTAAGTGATTACATTGTTATTAAATCTGATGGTCTTTGTTCACATCCTAATTCAACAATATCTCGTGATGTTCAAACTTTTACCGTCAATGTGCCTCATGCTAATAAAGGTGATGTGTTTAATTTTGAATTCTTATTTGAAATTAAACCTAATGTTTCATTAAGTGAAATTTATTCTAAAGTTTATTTAAAGTTTAGAACTGATTATGTCACTAATGATTTATTCATTAGAAAAATCACTAATAATGGTAAAGATGTTCCTGAAAGTGATGTTATGGTTAAGAAAAGTTCATCTAGTGGTAATGTACTTTGTAAAAGTGATTATCATGAATTGCTTAACTAAGATTATTAAAATCTTTTAATTATTTTTGTATTCTTGTAAAAATTTTTAAAATTTGTTTATTAAAAGAAACAAATTTTATAAAAATATAAATATAAATTTGCATAAAAAATTATTAAAATGAATATATTAACATATGAGTATAAAGAAAATCGTAAGGAACGTCATTAAGTTAAAACATAATATAAAGAGAAGAAGTAAATCATATAAACCTAAAACCAACAATTTTGTTTATATATTTTAATTATTTTTTAGATAATAACTCTTTCCTTCTATTTTTATATTCCTCAATATTCATTATTTGAACATTATTCTCAAGATTAACATTTCTTGGAATATTAACTTCTTTAAACACTTTTTCATCAAAACCATTTCTAATAGATACAGCTTCCATTTCAATAACCATTTTTTCATCAACTAAAACATCTTCTTTTCTTTTAAAAGTATTTAAATATTCTTCACTAATTAGTCCTTTCTCATACAACTTTCCAAGACGTTCAATTTTATTTGTTAGTCTTTTTATCTTAACTAGACATGTGACTGCCGCTTTTCTTAACAAAGCTTCCCTCATTTTTATTTTATTTTCACCGTAAATCTTATAATCATAATACTCTTCTAGTTCTGGATTGTTTATTGATTCTTCATTAACTTTTTTATTAGTTTTTGAATACTTAAATATAATAACTATTCCCAATGAAATTATAATGCTCAAAATTATTAAAATCATGGATAAACAAACAAATTGATTTTTAATAAAAAATTTTTAACATTAAATGAACGAAGATATAGATAATTTATTTGATAGTGAAATATTAGAGAATGAAACTAAATTAAATATTGTCAATAAAGTTGATGAGCAAGTAAAGACATGTATTTATGATGAGTTTGTGTTGAATAATACGAAGCATGAGGTTATAACACCAATTACACTTAAGAACTATAAAACAATACCTAGAGAACCAAAAGTAACTGCCAAAGAATACAAGTTTGCACTAGATACATTTCAGGCATTAGCAATATCTGCTATTGAGAATGATAGGAGTGTTTTAGTCAGTGCTCATACATCATGTGGTAAGACTGTAGTTGCAGAGTATGCTATTGCACAATCAATAAATGATAAACAAAGGGTAATTTATACTTCACCTATTAAAGCATTGAGTAACCAAAAGTTTAGAGAGTTACAGGAAGAGTTTGGAGATGTAGGTTTAATGACAGGAGATGTTACACTAAATCCAGATGCCACATGTTTAGTAATGACAACGGAAATATTGAGAAATATGCTTTATAAAGGATCAGAACTTACTAGAGAAATACACTGGATAATATTTGATGAGATTCATTATCTTAAAGATAAAGAAAGAGGTGTTGTTTGGGAGGAAACATTAATATTAGCACCTAAACATGCTAGAATGATATTTTTATCAGCCACGATACCAAATGCTAGAGAATTTGGAGAATGGATAGCAACTATATGTGAACAAATAGTTCATATTATTTATACAGAAAAAAGAGTCATTCCTTTGGTTCATTACTTCTACTCAGCCGATGATCAGTTAAGGGAGATTAAAAGTATTAGTGGTAAGTTTAATTCAGATGAGTTTATGGCTTCACAAAATAAAACAATATTTAAGAAACACATTGCCAAATGTATAAATTCGCTGTTAGAGATGATTAATGTACCATGTGTTATATTTGTATTTATAAGAAAAAGAGTTGAAGAATTAGCTTTTCTTATTGAAAAAGATTTTCTTAATGAAGAAGAAAAGTCAGCTGTTAGAACAATATTTCATAATGCTATTAGTTCATTAAATGAAGCTGATAGAAATTTAAAAGGCATACAGATGTATTTACCACTTTTTGAAAGAGGTATCGGTGTACATCATTCTGGATTGTTGCCGATAATTAAAGAAATATCTGAACTTCTATTTCAAGAGTCGTTGATAAAAGTTTTATTTGCAACGGAAACATTTAGTATTGGACTTAATATGCCAGCAAAAACCGTTGTATTTGCAACACTAAAAAAATTTGATGGAAAGAATGAAAGAATATTAACAAGTGGTGAATATACACAAATGAGCGGTAGAGCAGGGAGAAGAGGATTAGATGAAGAGGGAACAGTAATATCACTAGTAACAGATAATTTAGCAAGTAAATCAATTGTTGAAATGTTAAATAAAGGAAGTGATAAATTAACAAGTTCATTTAGATTAACCTACAATATGATACTTAATCTTATGAGAGTTGAAGAATTAGATCCTTTGTATATGCTTAGTAGAAGTTTTTATCATTTTCAGGCATATAAAAATTGTTTAGAAATACAAGAGTCATTAGAAGAACCATTAAATGAGTCCTCTTATACACCTGAAATGTTAAATCTGAATAGTTTATTAAAAAAGAGGGAAGAATTAATTAGTTTAAGATGTAAAGAAATATCACAAACACTTGATGATTATATTAAAATGAATCATAGAGTGGTTGATATCACTATACCTAGAAATGGTGTACCATTAATTATAAGAAATTGTATTGTTAAAGAATTTATTCAGAGAGATGATGCAGATTATGTAAATCTTTTTATAGAAGTAGGTGATGATATTGAAAATAGAGAATTTCCAGTAGATTATATTTCAGCAGTATATGATTTTAGGGCTAAGGTTGAAAAGAAAATGTTTAATAGAGACTTTTCATTAATTACGTTTAACTCAAATCAGGATTCTAAAATAGAAGAAATAGATAAAAAGATAGTTAATTTGTTGAGACGTTCAGGTATTAAAGTAAACAGTGTTAATGATATATTTAAGAAGTGTTTAATTTGTAATAATGAAACAAAGAATTGTTTGTTACTGAATTCGTCTACTAAAGTATGTAATTTATCAGAATTTATCTATGAATATACACAATGTATTGATAAAGTAAAGCAAAAAGATAAGTTAAATAATATAGTTAGTTTAAATATATTTGAATTGAAGAAACAAATATATGAGAACAAATTAAATAGATTAGAAGAACTAAAAGAAGTATATCATATGGAAGAATGTAAAAAAATGATAAATGTACTTAGAAAATTAGGACATTTAGATGGAAATATTTGTACATTGAAGGGTAAAATGGCATCAGAAATATCATCAGCAGATGAAGTGTTGTTAACAGAAGTGATATTTTCTAGTAATTTTAATGAATTATCACTAATAGACATGATAGCATTACTGAGTATTCCAATAACAGAGAGGTGTAGAGAGGCTGAAGATTATCCAGTAAGTCAAGAAAATCAAATATTAATTGATACGATATTCCATCCATGTATTAAATAAATAGTGAGAATAATGAATGAATCTGGATTAAATGAAGTGACAGAATCATCATATTATGAAGTAAATAATTTTAATTTCTATATGATGGATATCGTAAGAATGTGGATATCAGGTTATTCATTTTCAGAAATATCAACTACATTTGAAAAGATATTTGATGGAAATATAATTAGAGGATTTAAAAGATTAGAAGAAATACTTAGACAATTAGCTAGTGCTGCTAATGTAATAGGAAATCAAGAGTTAGTTAATTTATTTAGTCAAGGAATATTTTTAATAAAAAAAGATATTGTTTTTGCTAATAGTTTATACTTGTAAACTAATTAAAATTTTATTTAGATAAACGTGATGTTGTTGTTAGTTAAATTAGAATTTTTAGTTATTTTCTTTAATAAAGTTTCTTTAAATTTACATTTTGATAGTAAATTTTCTAATACAATACACTCATTTAAAGTTAAGTTATTAATGAAATAAATATAACAATTATCTATTAAATCTACTTGATTGATATTATTTTTAATTGTATTAAATACGAATGTTTTATTACTTAATTTGTTAGTTTCTTTTGAAATTAATCTTGATAGTAATTTTATATCGTTAACTTTCATAGTTTTATTATTTAATAAGCAGTTAATAAAACCTTTAAATAATTCTTCTGTCATATTTATACTTTTAAAAAGTATAATTAATTTATCAATTTTAATATACTTAAATAATCTTTCACATTCACTAGTAAATATGCCAATCTTTATTAATTTTGCTAAATATAAACAATTTATCTCATCTATAAAATATTCATCTACATTTACATTTCTTATCTTTTCTATTAATTTAAATGTAACATATTTTAATATAGAATTTAAATTATTTAAATTATTTTCTTCATTCATAATGTTAACAGTGTTTCCATTTAATAATTTGATTTTATCATAAAAATATCCTATAAAATCTATCAAAATGTTAATTTCATCTTTTTTTAATTTTATCTCTAAATTTAATACTGATTGAATCTTTTCATATTCTTTATCTTTTAATAACCATAAAATATAATAACACTTACCTGTATTACTTAAATAATTAATGTTTTCACTAATAAACTCTTGTTTATTAATATACTTAACTATTATGTTGATATATTCTTTATTGATATTTAATAGACTTATTAGATACTTTTTAATATCAAAATCATTAATAATCCTACTTAGTAACATTAAATACTTTTCTAATAAAGTTTTACTTTTTATATGATTTAATATTAGTGTGTTTAATCTATTTAAAAGATTATTGGGTATTTCTAAATAATTATCAATTTTATATAGAATATCTACTAGTTTTATTACATTATTTACATTATCTTTACATGTTTCTAATAAATCACCCATTATAGATATATTAGTTATATTAAAGTTAGTTATTATAACATCAAATAAACAAAAATAACTATTAGAACAACAATTACTAGATTCTTTAATGTATTCATTAAAAAGTTTTAATAAAGTGTTATAATTGATTATCTTAGATATAAAAGTATTAGAAGTATTTTTAGAAAGTCTATGTAAATCATCAATATTAACATCAATATTTAGTTTCTTAAAAACATCCTTACAAACCTTACTATTGAGATTAAAATTATCTTCTTTTAAAATGTGAAATAAATCAATTTCACTAATCTTTCCATCTAAAAATAAACACATATACAATTTAAGACTTTCAGTTCTAATTTGAATGTTTTTATCTTTCAATAGTTTATCAATATTTGGAATTTGTATATTCTTATTTTTATCATATAACATTTTTAGAATCTTTAATGATCTTTTTCTAATCAACTCTCCCTTATCATTCATAAGATTAGTAATGAGTGTTACATTATTCACTATTAAATTAAAAATACCGTTGTTAGATTTTTTCTTAATTATTAAGTTAATAATCTGTTTTAAACAATACAATCTAATTCCACTATCAACATCATACAATCTTGGAAATAAAACATTCTCAATTATTAACCTAACATCATCCTCATCCTCAGTTTTATCTATTTTATCCAATAAAACATTAGTTACTACGTTTCTTATAGATCTATTCTTATCATTTGAATACTCAATAAACTTTACAATTGAATAGTTATTAAGATCTTGAATTATACTAACTATTTTAGTATTAAATAAGTTCCCTTTTATATACTCATACAACTCAAATGTACAGTCTGGCATTGCTTTTAACTTATCCATGCTTATAATTTCTTCTTCTGCTATAATAGTATTGCCCTTATTCTCTCCCTCTCTATTCATGCAAAATAATTTTTTTAAATAAATTTTATTAAAATAATAAATTTTAATTTAACTTTTCTTCAATAATCACTCTCTTATCAATATTAGTTGATTTTAAGTTTAATATTGATTTGACTAGTGTTATTTCTACTTTAGTAGATTTATCAGAAATGAAACATACATAATCATTTGTGGCCATACCTGAACCTATAAAATTACTTCCCTTATTGACTGTTGTTGGTCTTACATTCATACTAAGAAGTTCAGATAACTCTTCAAGTTCACTTTTACTAATCTCTGTATGTAATAACAATCCTGTTGAATTCATTGAACCGTATGATCCAACATTATCAAATTTACCTAGTGGCATAGCATAACATTTAACTTTAAGTGTCTCTTCTACTGTCTTGATATTCTCAAAGAATGGATTAATTAATGCATTATGATCATTACATAGAATGTTATTTCCAAGTGTGTTAATTTTATCTGAAACTTTTCTTAATGCAACTTCATTTGGTAGTGAATTTCTTATATGCATTAATTCTTGATCTGTACATAAATCACTTACTACACAACCATGTCTATTTCCTGCACATAATAAACCAACCGTATTAATTCCACCAATAGTTGTTTCAATAATTGGAATATCTAAAACTTCTCTCAGTGTATTAATAAAATTATCGTTTGAACTTCTTCCTACAATTGCATAAGTGTTTGTTAACATTAAATAAGCTCCTATTTCCTTTTCTCTTTCAAAATTACAAATATACAATTCTTTTTTATTCTCTTCTTCCATTTAAATTAATTTTATTGTTATTTAAAATTTTTTATAAAATTTTTTACTGTTTTCAGACATAAAAAAACAAAATATAATTTGGATTTTTAATTAAAAAAATTTTAAAGGAATATAACAATTAATATTATTAAAATACTTCTTTTTTAACATTTTGTACGTGTATTTACAATATTTAAATAAATCTTTTAATCTAATTAAATCATTAAATAATTTATTTATTTTAATAACTTTTAAATTGACTTCTTGATAAAAAATTGACTTCTTGATGATACATTCATATTCTTTTCGTAAATTTTATGATATTTTGAATTATTACTATTTATTTTTAAATCATTTTAAATTTATAACTATTAATTAATCTTATGTTGGTTCATATTTGTGCTTATTAACTATTTTGTATTTATATTAAAGTAATACAACAACTTCAAATATTAAATTAAGTTATAAAAATGTTATTTATTCACAATAAAATTGGTTATTAAATTTTTTTAAAAAAATTTTTAAGAGATTTGTTATTAAAAAGGAGGCATTGTGAATTTTTAATAAGGAGATTGAAATCAAAAATAGAAATATCATTTAAATTGTGTCTATTTTATAAATAGATCGAAACTAACTACTTTTAAATAGAATTATAATTTTTATAATTTAATGATTAATAATTTTAATTAATTTAATTTTTGAAAATAAAAGTGTATATCAACTCTATTTTAATATAATTATAATAGGTATTTTTTCTCTTGTGATCTCTTTAGTATTTAAAAAATTTAATGTTTTTACCCCTAAAATGATAAATTCTATGGAAAATATAATAGAAATTTTATTTACAGTTATGTTGAACACTGTTTTAAGTAAGTTTATAATTAATTATGTTAGTGGTACTGTTCAAAATCAAAATTCCCGAGATAATTCTCTTGATGGTTCTGGTGGTTCTGGTACTCCTGATGGAACTTCTATGTTTACTTCTCTTGTTAAATTCTTCAATAATCATAGAAAGATTATAATAATATTAATACTCTTTATAATAGTAGTTATTATTGTCTATTTTATGATGAGAAAAAGTTCTTCTGAAGAAGTTGTTGATGAAAATATGGAAGTAAGTCCAAGTGAGATTTGAATAAACGACTTAAGTTAGTCTTATTTTTGTTTTTTTTAAATTTTTCTTTCAAATATAAATGAAATGATATAAAATTTATTGAATTTATTATTATTGCTCATAGAATTACTTTTTAATTATATTTAATCAAATTTCTTCTTTGAATATCTTTAAAACTCAACATCATTATGAGTTTAAATACTCTCTATTTTTATATAAAATCTATTTAATCAATTATATTCTTAATTTTTAAGATAAACTATTAAATATAGAAATAACATTTATAAGTCTTGAATAAATAGTATTTGACTTTTTGTTGATTTAGTTATTTTTTTGCTCCTTTAATATAAAAATGTTTTACATACAAATAATTGAAAAATGAAAGGTTTTTTGTTTAATAATTATATTAAATGACGTATTTATATTTTTATAACGTATTATAAATTAATGATGTGTTTTGTGGAAATTAATGATATTTTATTAATTTTATATAAAAATTATTGTTTGAATAAGATTTATTTGTTACTTTTTTTAATTTCATAAAAGATATATGAGTAATGAAATAAAAGACATATTATTAAAGGTTTTAATGAAGAAATTGTATTTAAAGGAACATAAAGGCTTTTAATAGAGTTTTTTTACTGATAAAAAAGTTTTAAATGGGTTATTTATATTTGAAGTAAAATTACCTTACGTGATTAGTTTTTTATAGAATAATTTATCAATTTTCATGTTTATTTCTTAATTAGACTTATTATTCTATAAGTAATAAATAAATGATTAAAATATGAAATTAAAATCACCAGTTTAAAATAAAGTCTCTTTATAATTATAAACAAATTTTTATTTTCTTAGTGTTACAATATTCATTTTTAAAAACATTTATGTCGTAATACTCCATAAGTAAAATTGGAAGTAAACACGTTTTTGGAAATTTTTTAAATTATAATTATTTAATATTTGTTTTAAATCAATTAAAAAAATTGGAAATAAAAGATTTTATTGAAAAAAGTTTTAAAGTTTTCATCTAGCAAGCAGTTGACAATTTGATAGTTATAATTTTAAGAAGATGTTAGAAAATAAATAATAATAAAAAACTTTAATAATCTTAAAATTATTTTTAAAAGTAAAAGAATAGAATAAAGTATAAAAACAAAAACAAAAAAATAATAATTTTTATTAGAGATTTTTAAAGTAAGTCATTAACTGTTTATTTTCATTGATCACCTTATTGTATTTACAGTCTTCATCAATAGCTCTTTCACATTTTTTCAATTTGCTAAAAGTTGATGGAATAGTAGAAAATATACTTGAACAATCAAGTTCAGTAAAATCCTCAAAATGAATTAAAAACTCATCATATTCTCTATTACACTGTTTTCTATTAAATTCAATTTTTTTTAATAAAGATTCAATTTTATTGTGATATTGATAAGCATATTCATGTGTGAGACCTCTTCTAATGAAACAGAGATTATGAATTAATTTTCTTAATTCATTTTGCTTCTCCTCTAGAAAGTATTTATTATAATCATTCTTAATTATAACATTCTTTTCTATAAGTATTGATAGATTATTTAGTAGTTTTGCCAATACTTTTCTATCAGACTTACATACACTCTCTATTTGTTTAATGATATGTGGAATACTGTTAATGTTAATCTTCTTTTTCATTGATTAATTTATAAATAAAGTTTTTATTAAAAATTATTAAAAATAACTAACTCTATAAAAAAATTTAATTAATCAAATAAGTTATTAAGAGCATTTAAATTAATTTTAGATGTGACTTTCTTATCAAGTGATTTTAAAGCATCTTCAACAGTTTCAAAATCACTTTTTTTTCTTTTTTTGATAGTTCTAGGAGCAGGTGCATTCTTTTTCTTTAATTGCATTTCTTTAACATACTCATTATACATTAAATCCCAAACATTAGTTTTATCTTGGATTTCATTTTCATTAAGAATGTATTCATCACTATCAAATTCATTGATTTCTTCTGATTCTTCTTTAACAAATTTACTGATTTTATTGACAGGTGGATTTTCTTCTACATCAATCCAAGATTCTTTAAACTCCTTTATATTAAGATGGGCAGTTTGTGTTTCTGAAATTTCTTTTAATCTTTTATTAATTGTAGCAACCGAGGAATGTACTGTTTTAGCCACATCCTTAATATCTCTTGGTTCACCACAGATTCTAGATGCTAGTAAAATAGCAGCACCACAGGCATTATTAGGTCTCCTTCCCTCCATTATCCAATCTTTTTTAATTCTATTTAATAACCTCACAGCAATAGAGAATATTTCAGGATGTTTTAATTTAAGCTGTGTTATAAATCTATGCATGTACATTGATGGATCAGTTAACTTTATTTCAATTTTATATAATTTTCTCATTTTCATAAAAATTTTACCAATTTTGAATACATCAATTCTCAAAACATCAGAAAAGTCCATTAATAAGTGAGGAGTATTAGCTTGTCTACAAGAAATGTAAACACATGCTGATAAAGTATATAAAATAGACTTTCCTTTAGTAAGATTATGTAATAATGACATTTTGTACCATCTAAATGCTATTTCAATATGTGAGTTATCTAAAGATAGTTTGTTACAAATATTTCTAATTGTGTTTTTTATATAATAAGAACTATCAACAAACTGAGTACCAACATTAACGTTTTCTACGTTAATAATTTGACCAGTCTTAATTGGCTTACTCCCCTCTGTGTTATATTGTAATGTGTTCACTATTAAATTCTCTTCTTGTAACATTCCACACACTTCACAATATATTATTCCCTTTGCTTGATCTGTTTCTAATTCTGTAGAGTTACAATTAAAACAATGTGTCATTTAAAGGGGTAAATTTTTAAATTATTTATTAGTTAGATTGTTTTAGTTTTTTAATTAAAAATTTTTACCCTCATTATTATGAGTTTCATTAGAAAGTGTGATTTTACAAACTATCCAATATTGCCAAATGATTGTAGTTCTGTTCAGATTTGTTTAGCCCAGTTAGATGGTGAAGGTAAAGCTACTGAAAATATTTCTATTATTGATATTTGTGGAAGTGTAAGAAAGTCTGGTAAAGTTGATAGACTTTTATATGAAAGTGAATGTTAATAAAGTAATTGTTATTTATTTAAATCTTTTTCTTGATTCTTTTTTAGATTCATATATGCCTCTTTTATTCCCCTGTATTTTTCTATTAAAATTGACTGCTTCTCAATTTTTGTTCGATTAGATAAAATTAATTGATTAATTAACAAATTAAAATCTTTAAAATTTTCTTTAAGAAAAGTTATATCTTTTCTTAAATTAACTAGCTCTTTTGTTTTTATTTTGTTATTTTCAATTAAATCTTTTTCATTATTAATATAATCACCTTCTTTGTTAAGTAATTCTTTTATTTTATCATTAAATTTAATTAACTCATTTTCTTTATTAATTAATTGATTTTTAGTAAAATTAAGTTCATTAGTTACATTGTTAATTTCATTATTTTTTACAATCATTTCATTTTCTTTAATAACTAACTGATCATTAAATAAACTTTCTATTTTTAAATTAAAGTTAATAAAATCATTTTTACAGTTAATAAGACTTTCTCTTATAAATTTAATTTCTCTTTTATCAAATAATGAAAGTTTAAATTTACACTCGTTTACTTTCTCTTTATAAAGTTCTAATTCTTCAATAAGTTTATCTTGATCTTCTGCTTTCTTACAGATATAACTAACTAATTTTGATTTAGGTCCATTAACTACATTTAGTACTGCAGGAATATCTAAAGTCTTTTTTAACTTTTCTTGTAATTTGTTGTATTTCTTACACAGCTTATTGTACTTTGTTACTAATCCACTATTCTTTGATGCCAATACTTTAGCTCTATCTGAATATTTCTTAATTTCAGAAACATCTGTTATTAGTTGCTGATTTACCCTATTCATCATTACTTCTAATTTATAAAGTACTGTTTCACTTACTTCTGAATAATCTATATAATCACTTAATCTAATTTGTGTCATTTAAGATTTTTACTTACAAAATGAAATTCTTTTTATTAAATTTAATAGTTTGTGATAATGAAACAGTGTTAATAAATGAATTATTTAATAAGGTTCAAAGATATTTTAATATTCATGATTATAAAATAAAAGAAGTTATTAATTCTAACGATTCAGATATTAAATTAGTAAAAATTAAATTTAACAGCAAGGAGATAAAAAAATTTTTAATTAAAGACAAATATGTTTTTACATACATGTGTGAAATCATGTTGTATATAAAATTATTGGATCTGATGATGAGGCGTTAATGGCTAAAACTTTAATGTTATTTGTGTATAGATTTAAATAATGAAGTTATTTCAACTGTAAAATATTCTTATTATAAGAAAACTATAATAACATCGTTAGATTTAAACAATCAAGTTATTCAAACAGAATACCTTGATGTAATAAGCAATCATAAGTATATTAACACGATTAAAAATTTAAATTGTATTGAAGTGCTGTTTAATAACAAAATATTTGAAACAACGTATTATGATTTTTTATTAGATAGAAAAAAGATATTATCATTGTCGATCGATTCGGATTAAGTTTTATTAAAAATATCAAACTTCTTTTAATTGTTTTTTAATTTTTTATTTAAAAATGATAGTTTTAAAGAATTACTAGATACTGAAGAAGAAGCAATCAATATTTTTAAATTATGTGAAGATGAGTTGAGTAAGAAAGGTATTATAAAGTATTTTTCATTATTTAAAAATAATTTTGAAAAAGTAAATAAAAACACAGAATTCAAACTAACTTTTAAAAATTTTATGACTTTTTAAAAAATTTATTTGATTTAGTTTATTTAAAGTTGTTAGAATGTGAAACTAATATCAAGAATTATTATAATTTAGCATATTCAATTTATAAAACAGTTATAATAAAACAATCAACAAATGAAAGTGAAGACTTTGATTTTTTGAGTAAAAAATTTGAATGTGTAATAGAAGAAATCAAAATTATGAATAAACTTATTGATTTATAATTAAAACTTTCAAAGATAAATTAAATCATCATTTAATTAAATAAAAACATTTTACTTCTATCAATTAAAGTGAATTCATTTTTTATTAAAAATCACTGAGAAGAATATTTATACTTTTTATTGTACTAATGTTCAATAAATAAATTAGTTTACACTAATAAAAGTATAGCAAAACGTTTAGAATTTTAACGAGTCTTAATAAATACATTACATACTACAAGTTACAATTAAAACGTAAAATTTACAATAATGATAAAAATATAATAAACTTATTTCTTTTAAAAATTTTTTAAAAAATATTTTATTATTAAATTTTAAATAAAAATCAATTAACTAATTTAGATTATAAAATTTCTTTAATTAAGAAAACACTAACAGTTAATTTCATTTAAAATAAAATTAATAAATTAAAATTAAGCTTATAATTTAAATTTAATCCTTTAATTTAAAAAACAACTAAATTTTAATTAATCATCTTAGTAATTTAGTATGTAATTAAACACCAACTAGTTGGTTTTAAAAATAATAAAATTTAATTAATAAAAAAGTCATTAAAATTTTTTAATCAAAACATTAAAATTTTGATTTTATTTAAAAAATTTTAAATTTTATGCCCTTTAAAATGAAAGAAGTATATGAACAAGATAAAGAAAGAATAGAAGTGTTGAATGACAAAACACTCAAAACTAGAACAGATAGTATTAGTAGTAAAAAACAACAGGGAGGTTTTAAATTATTAATAGATATTTTCAAAGGAACAGTAATATCACTGTTTTTAATGATTACAGATGTCTTGTCTGTTGGAACAGCGTTCTTTGATTTGAATCTTAGTGAAGCTGAAAAAGGTCCATACAAAGAATGTCAAGATAAACTAAATGAGTTGTCGTATATTATATTTAATATCTCAATGATGTTATCTACTTTAATTTATACTAACTTTGGTAGTCTTAAAACTTTTATGATTGGAAGTGCGGTATTTGAGAGTAGAAATATTACTTCAGATATTGCAAGAACTGTATTTGATTATTTCATTAAACAGGGTGTTTCAAAACAAAATATTCCCAATATGGTTTTATTAAACACCTACTTAGTTTGTTGTTTGTTTGTAATAATTGTATCTTTAGTTTATATAATTATTTATTATTCTAAAATAGGAAATTATTTAAAGAAGATTCCAATTCTAGCGGTGAATGTTATCGGGGGAAAAATAGGTATTTCATTGATGTTATTACCAATATTACCGATTATTAATAATCCAAGTACAAATAATCTAATCAAAATATCAATTGTGGCTGTTTCAGCAGTTTTAATTGTTTTGGTTGAAACTTTTTTACATTTTGATTTCGCAATTCCTTGTTTATTAATTGGTTCTTGTACAGTTGTTTACTTATTTAGTGGGAAGATAAATAATGAACATAGAGTTGATCAATTATTTCTTGAGTATGATTTTAGTAACTTTAAGAAAATATTTAATAACAGTAGTATTGCATGGGGTGTATTACTTAAGTGTTTGCCAATTATTATTAAGGGTGTTATTTTATGTGTAATTTTATTTACTATTAATATTGTTACTATTTCATCTAAATTGAATGCTAGTATTGACATGAATGTTGAGTACTTAGTTAATGGCGGAGCTAATTTTCTATCATTGTTTATTGGTCTTCCAGTTTATCCATCTGCATCTTATACAATTTATCTTAACAGTATTGGGTGTAAAAGTAAGTGGATATCATACGCGACTGTAATTACTTTCCTTTTATTTATTGTTACTGTTTTTAAGTGGATGGTTCAATATATTCCTGTTACATTTACTGATACTGTTTTTGTTTATGTCGGTATCTCTATTTTTAAGAGTTCTGTCATAGATATGGTTAAAGTATGTTCTATGTTTGATATTACTATTCTTACATTAGGTATTATGTTAGATTTTACTACTGATTTAGTTGGTTTCTTCTTTACAATTGCTGTTGTTACCAGTAGAATACTTCTTGAGTATATTAAGAATCCGATTAGTGAAAAACCTAAAAATACAGGTGATATTTCAATTATTAAGATTGATTATATCTTGTGTTACATGACTTTAGACAGATTTGAAAATGACTTAAGACGTATTACCCCAGATACGTTAATTGATCTAAATGATTGTCCTTTTATTGATACTGATGTTAATCTTAGATTAATTAGTTTAATTAAAGAAAAGAAAATTAACAGGTTAACTGGTAGACCTGCAAACTTTTATTTTGATAAAATAGCGCCATTGTGCCAATTTATTCAATAAAAGTTTTTTAAAAATTTTATACTTTTTTAATTATATTTTTATTAAAAATTTTTATAGTTATTTATTGGAATTAATTTTCTACAGAAAAAATTATTATTTTAAAAAATTTGTTTGTTAAAAGAAACAAATACAATTATTAATATAAATTTAAATTTGCATAATAAATTAATAGAAGCAAATTATAAGATACTAAAAGGTAGTATTAGTTATATAATCAAATTAAAATAAAAGTAAAACACAACATCATTTTTTTAGCATTATGATTAAAAATAAAGATTCATTTAAATATAAACGATTAAAACACAAGCAAGTTATAAAAATCTAAACTATTTTACATTATTGAATCAATTTACTCTTATCTTCTTCTGTTATCATTTCTAGAGAAATCAAGTCTTAAAGAACTTCCTTTGTAGCTTCCAATCTCTTCAATAATTCTTTTAGTCTCAACAGCTTCCTCGACAGTTTGTAAAGTTACAAATCCAAAACCTTTACACTCTCCAGTGTTTCTGTCCTGAACAACTTTAACCTGATAGGTAAATTGACTTGTAGATAATGAATCTCGAACAAAATCTTCAAAGTCATTATGAGACATAGATTGTGGAAGACCAAATACAATAAGTCCTTCACTTGGAGGATTACTCTCCCTCCTTCCATACCTATCATCTCTTCTGTAATCTCTTGAGGATTGTTGGCGATCATTAAAATCATCATTTCTTCTATCAAATCTAGAACCATTATCTCCTCTCCTGTCATCACGAAAGTAACTTCTTCTTTCATCATCTCTCCTACCATAATTATCTCTTCTTTCATCATGAAAACCACCTATTCTCTCGTAATCTTCTCTTCTATCAGTACGGAAATTATCCCTTCTGGTATCACGGTAACCACTTCTTCCATTATCAAAGTTGTCTCTTCTACCATAATCATCTCTTTTATCAAAGTTAGATCTTCTGTTATCATAAGAATCACTTCTGTTGTTACGATAGCCTCCTCTTCCCTCATCATCTCTTCTACCATAATAATCACCTCTATCATTACGGTAACCACTTTTACTAACATCAAAGTTGTCTCTTCTATCGCCATAACTACCACTTCTGTCATTACGGTAATTGTCCTTTCTATCATAACCACCTTTGAAGTCTCTTGATTCACTTCTAGTTTCTGATAAAGGCTTATTATCAGCCTGTGATACGAAGACGTCATTACTTTCTTCCTTCTTATCCATGTCAATGTTTTCCCATTCATTAACTTTTGATTCTACTTTCTTCTTTGGTACCATACTTTAAGGGTTAAATTTTTATTAAAAATTATAATAATTTCCCCTTTTAACACCAATAACATTTTGGGACTAAATGAATGTGTTTTCATCGTTTACTTTACAAATCATTTTAAAAAAATTACATCAATTTTTCTATTAAAATAAGTTGAAAACTAATTAAAAATTTTTATTAAAAATATTTAACTTAATGAACCAAGAAGAAGATATTTTAGAATTATCAGAATCTAAAGAAATAGATTGTATATTAAATCAAAAAGGAAATATTGAACAAAATAAAATGAAAATAGAAGAAGATAACACTAAGAAATTTAAATTCAATTTAACAGTAAAAGACACACTTAAAACTTCATTAAACAATTTTTTAATAAAATTAGAATCAATTGATAGAAAATTAAATAATATTAGAATGAATTTAATTGGTAAAAATAATTCAATTAATAGTAATAATTTAATTAAAAATAATTTAATCAAAAGTAATTCAATTAATAATAATAATTTAATTAAAAATAGTAAATTAATAGATTCATTACCAAAATATAAATATATAAAAAGTAGTATGAAAAGTTATGATGAATTTAATGGACCGGTAAATCATTTTATAAAAAATAATTCAACAGCACCCATTCATATAAAATTTAAACACGGTAGTTATGAAAAGGTTTATTTTGTTTATGATACAGATACAACCGATAAACTTTATGATTCCATTTTAGGAACAACTTCGAATGAAGATTTGATTTTTGAGGATATGAAGTTACCAAGAGGATTGACAATTGAAGAGGCTGGTTTTTTCCCAGGTATGAATTACGTAACAGTAAAGAATATAAATCCTAAATTTTTAGTAGAGAAAGAGTTTTTTATAAGACTTAATTTTATATACACAGATTCCATTGACCTGAGAATAAAGGAAGATGCAACGGTTGATTCTATTTGTAAGATGTATGGAGAAAAATATATATTAATAAAAAATGGATCATATTTAGACATGTCATTTAAAATTAAAGATGTTTTTAATTGTGGAGAGTGCGTAGATTTAGTTGAGAGAAGTTTGTGTGAATAAAATTTAATAAAAGTTATAAAAATTTTAATAAGAAATGCGAGAGGTATTAACACTACAGATAGGACAATGTGGAAATCAAATAGGAAATGAATTTTGGAAGAGGATAAGTGAAGAACATGAAAACAATGAAGGAAGAAAAGATAGATTCTTTTACAATGGCAACATTCCAAGAGGTATTTTTATTGACACGGAGCCAAGAGTTGTTGACAAAGAGTTTAGAAATAATTTTTTTATAGCAAACGATGGAATTGGAGCAGGCAACAATTTTGCACAAGGGTATAAAATAGGTAGAGAATCAAGTGAGGACATTTTAGATTTAATTAATAGACATGTTGAAGCCTGTGACTCACTTGAAGGAATGATATTTATACATGCTAGTGCAGGTGGTACTGGAAGTGGATTTGGGTCATATTTATCAGATTCACTTAGAGAGATTTATGGATTTAAAAAGATATTCACCTCATTTACAGTTCTACCTACCAATAAAGAAGCATCAGAAGTAGTTGTACAGCCATACAATACGATTTTAACACTTGATAAGCTTTATAAAAATATGAACATGGTAGTATTGATGGATAACTATGCCTTATCTAAACAAACAATCACATCTAATCTTATTAATTCAATTCCAATTGATAAGGCACATACATTTGAATCTCTAAATGATGTTGCATCAGATGTCATTGCTAATTTTACTTCTTCCATTAGATTTCCATCACACATGTTCTGTACGATGGATTCAATAACTAAAGTGCTGTGTCCTTTTAATAATTTTAAGTTTATCGTTCCTTCTTACATTAAGAGAAACAGTTCAGTTAATGAAATTATGAATAACTTAATTAAACAGAAGACTATGTTGTGTGATTATGAAGACTCATCTCTTTACTCGACATTTTCTATAATGAATAATCTTAATCGAATTAAACATTCCTCAGAAACAGTTATGAGATGTTCAAGACTAATCCAACCACGTATCAATTTCTATGGTTTACCTTTCTATTTATTTAATTTAAATAAAAGTGATTCATCCATGGGACTCATTAATAGCACATTTACCAGGACAATATTTAGAAAGATAGCTTCCCAATTTGATCAAATTTATCAAAGAAATGCTTTTATAGAAATGTATAAGAAAAATGATTATACAAGTGAAATGTTTAATGAAGCAAGAGAAAATATTGAAGAGTTGATTAAAAGTTTAGAATCTGCTGAACAGGTTAAATCCTCCAATTAAAATAAAATTTTATTCTATTAATAACCTACCAATATCACTCTTAAGAACTTCTATTTGTATTTCTGTGACAATTAATAAGTGAAATACTGAATATATTTCAGATCTATCAGTTGCACATGCTAATCCTTTTGAATAGAATGATAATGACTGTTCTGTGCCCATGAGATAGTTACCATAATAGATGTAATTCTTAAAGTATTTAGGATCTTGATCAATTGCTCTATCCAAGAAATAATTACACTCTTCATTACAATCCTTTTTAAAAATTCTTTCTAACTCTCTAACTTGTGCTGACTCGCTATAATAATCATTTTTGTTAAATTCAATTGATATTATACTTTTAAATAAGGAAATTCTCGTATCATTAAAAATACTAAATTTTTCGTATAATTCACTAACTAACTTATAATCTTTATTTGCAAGAGAGTATTCAGTTGATATACAGAAGAAGTTAATGAATGCATTATCTTTATACCAAACACCGGTATTTTTCACCTTTTTAATATTTTCATTAATGAAATTAACTACAGCTTTATGATCTTTTAATTTGATCAGAGTTATAAGTTTAAGATTATTTAAAGCAGGTTTAACCAGTTTAAATATACATTCTTTATCGATAATTTCCAATGCTTTGTTGAGATATAATTCTAACTTGGGTATATCATTATACTCTTCACAGATTTTAGCAGCTATAATCAATGAAGTCAAATATTTTGATTTACTTTCCTTATTAGATTCAATAATCTCATCTAGTTTATATTCATCAACAGTTTTGTAAGTTGAATAAGATAAAATCTTTAAGAGAGGGGCTAACTTAGAATCTGAAACTTCATAAAATGTAGAAGATAATTCATGTTGACCCTTAATGTAATTAAAGATACCCTTTAAGACCAAATTTTCACTAATTGATTTAGAATTAACTAAATGTTTATAAATAGCATTAAAATCACCTTTTCTAATAAAATCGTTAGGAATAATTTCAAAGAATAACGGCAATAAACTAAAAAAATCCTTGAATTTAATATCAGACACATCACCCAAAGGTTGAAATTTTGCTACTTGAATATTTGTTAGTTGAACAAGATATTTTTTAGCTTTCTCATTAATATTTTCATCTTTTTTATCACTAATCGTTAATATAAATAAATCCTTAAAGGCTGATCTTAAATATACATAACTTTCCTTATCTAGATTAAAATTCTCAATAAGATTTAATCTCTTATTAACATAAAAAGATAATTCTTTCTTATTATCAACAAAACGATTTATATAATCTGATAACACATCAACAAATTCTTTACTAAACTTTTCTTTATCATTCTCTAATAAGTTTTCATAGCAAATAATCATTTGATTAAGAATTTCTTTAGATTTATTTTCCAATAGTTTGTATTTGTTAAGTGCTTCAAGATACTTAGATTCTTTAACTAGTGTATGTGCTAATGCTGTTTCATAGTTTTCATCAAAAGAATCTTTACTTAAATATTTCTTAGTTAAATAAGCTATTACTGCTCCTACAGCAGCCACTCCTAAAACTATAGCTAATTTATCATATTTTTTCTCTCGTTTCATTTAATTTTTTATAAAAAATTTTGTAAGAAAATTAAAAAATAAATAATTTATTCATTTGATTCAGAACCTTTGCTTTCATTACTTCCACTACTGCTTTCATCACTTCCACTATCACTAGAAGATTCATCTGTATTAGCTTTCTTTTCTTTTTTATTCTTAACCAATAAACGGTTTTTAGTAATCTTCCTTTGTTCTGGGAATGTGTTATAAGCTACGAATTTACTCATCATATCACATGATGCTGAACAATTACTATAATGTCCATCTACACTTACACGCTTATCACGTTTATTGTAATACTCAGAACATGGAACACAATTATTTGGATTCTTTGATGATCTAATGGCTCCTTCACTTGTCATGGCTTCTCCGAATTTGTTGAATGTCACTGAATTGGTTTTAGTTCTAAATGATGATGCACATTTCTCCAGGAAGTCAAGTATCTCATAACGTATATTCTCCATTATTGCCATGGCTGCTAATGTGTTCTTGTACCATAATTGAATTACATTCTCTACTACTATCAACTTCCATTCCTTTGCTGTCATTATTTCATTCATCTTGTTTTGTTGATAACATTCTAGTGAGGCAAAATCCAACTTATAGGTACAGCTTTTAGTCATTGGCTTTGGTGTGTTTGAATCCCTTACTATCTGTTCAAATGACTTCACTAGCTTCTTTAGCATTTCCTTTGTATCCTTTGTTCTTTGTGCAATACAATCATTGTAATGTCCTTGATCAAAGGCTGCTGGTGAATACCCAACTGTTACACCTTCTACTGATGTTCCTGTGCTTGCTAACTTCTTACATTCTTCTACCAGTTTCTCTCTATCAAATTCAGATGGTTCAATTCTTCCTACGGCATTCTGAAATGCTCTTTGTAATCCTGGTTTTGAACAAAGTGGACTGTTTGATCTACAAAGTTCTGATAGGTTTGAGCCTATATTTTTAAGACTTCCTAATCCCTCAGCTGCTTTTACTTCTTGTACTCTTAAAATGTTTGTTATAATAAAATATCTTAATCCTAACATGCTAAAACATACAATTTTGTTTTTAAAGCTTTTTGAAACAATTTTGTTTCATTTTGTTTCAAATTATAATTTGTTTATTTACTTTTTTTATTTTTTAAATAAATTACCCCTTTTGGAAATTTTTTATCAGTTATACTTTATTTATAGTTTCATTCTTTTTTAATTAAATTTTTATTAGCACAAATTTTAATAAAATTTTATAAACAATTATTTAACACTTAAATTTTATTCACAGAAATTACGCTTAGGAACATAAGTAGGATCAGATGGTGAACATTTAACAGCTTTAAAGTTATATGCGGCTGGTAATTGAACTCCATGAATATTTACAATTTTCATTGGATGCCTATATGCTGATTTCTTACAATCCAAACAGTTGATTGATTCCATTAAAGGAGAATTATTAAAATCATTGAAACTCTTTAACATGTTTGTTTTCATTAAACAATTTGCATCTACTGGGCCTGCATTTGGATTTATGTAGGGTTGGAACAATGCTTGTATTGTAGCTGCATTTTTTTCTAGAGCTTCACTAGCTTTACAATTCAAAGGGGAGAATGTTGGAGCTACTTCTGGGACTCTCATACCACTGTTACTTATAGCAAATCCTGGTTGTACTGGTACATTACCATTAGTAATGTAACTACCTGGCTGTGAAGTTACACCTGGGATAATTGGTGAGTCTGTACATTGAAATGCCTGCTGTATTGTATTGTTTATGTCCCCAATTATACTAGATAGAGGTTTAGTTAAACAATTGTTTTTTCCTGATAATAAAGCACCTGCTCCTGCTGGATAACAACATTGTTTAACTAAATTATCTGCTTTAATTTCACTTAACATAGTAAATAACGAAAATATTTCTCTTAACATATCTAACACAAGAAATTTATTTTTATATACAAACTGAAACTTATGTTTTATTTGTGTTTCTAAAAAATTTATTTTTTTTATTTGATGATGTTTCCTAAAATGGAAAATAAATAAAAATCTTTTTTTAAACTTTATTTTGAGTGTCTTTTATATTTATTAAAATTTAAAACACAAATAACCAGTTAAATTTTATTTGATGATTCTATTTGTTTATCTTTTTGTTCTTTAATCTTGTTAATAATATCTAAATCACAAATAGTTCTTAATGGACGATCAGAAGTAAAATTAAAATATTCACGACTTCCATCTGTATAGCAATGAATTTCAGATTGTTTCTCAGTATACACAACCATGAATGGTAAATAGAGTCTCTGACTCTGAGGAGAGTGCTTTAATCTGTTACGATCAATAATGTAAACAAATGCATCCCTCATGTCTCTCAATTTTTCCATCTCTTGTTTCTTTTTAGTTAGGTCAATAGAAGCACTAATCATGTAATAACTCTTATCATGTTTGCCTATAACATTTACAGCTCTTAGTACATTGAGTACATCATAGATTCGCCTGATCTTAGTATTATTGTTTCTAGCATCTATAGCTACTACTATCTCTTGATAAGTAGCTGTCTTTTTCTCCCTTAAGAATGATAATACTGATTCTGTTATATACTTAATACCTTCCTTCTTAGCTTCTGAGTTAGTTTCTGATTTAAGGTTATCGGATGTCAGGTTAAAAACCATGGAGGGATTTTTCAAAAAATTATTTATAAAATCTCTTCACAGACAATTTACACCGAATACAATAGTTTATAAACTTCATTTTAAGAGTGATTTAGACTAGTATTATTGTACTGTTGTTTGACATCAAAGTCAATTTAATAAAAATTTTTTAAAAATTAATTCTTTATTTTCTTAGAATAATTGAAGGTTTTAATGGTTCACTAGTTTTATTAAAATCTCCAATTTCTATAAATGAACCACTAATTTTACTCAAATAATCTTTAAATGTTTTAAGAATTTTCATTTCATTAAAAGTTCTCACATACTTACTGGGGAAATTATAATAGTCCATACAGAACATCATGATCTTCTTATTTCCTTTAATGTTTTTATCAGTTGATTCTCTAATTTCTTTAAGAATAACTGTTTTAAAATCTTCAGAGTCTTTAAACTTATTAACTAATTCCATACCTGCTTTCTTCCATTCACAATAATCTTCACCTGGCTCAATACAATATTTATTACCTGGTTTGATTCTACTAATAATACTTCTTAAATAATTATAAATATCAATATACTTCCATTCAATATTCATATCGATAGTTATATAATTATCACTCAAAAACATTCTAGGCAATTCAACATTACAATTCATAAGTTGTAATAAGTATCTAGATAATGATGGTATAACAGGATACATTAACTGTATTAATGTTTTATAAGCATAATTAATCAATTGATGATTGATCTTATTAGACATAATTTCATAATTTTCAATTGCACTTAGATTTTCATAAAATCCATATTTAATCACGTCTTTAAAATTAATTGATTCATAAGATTTTAAAGTTTCTATTGAATTTAAGTAAATTCTATTTATAAGAATTAATTCACTAACATCAACTTCATTATTATCTGTAGATTCACTAATATTAACTTCATTATTATCTTTATCACTTACTACTATTGATTCAATTATCTTAGTTAATCTGTATAATTTTAAAACAAATAAATCAGCTATATTTTCTACAAAATTAGCATCTTCATTAGTATCACCACAATCAGCTAAACACATTCTACAACTACTAGATCCGTATTTAATTAACGCATTTTCTACCGTTAAAAAATTACCCTCTGATTTACTCATCTTTTTTCCATTCAATAACAAATGTCCATTTGTAAATATTCTTCTAGGAATCTTATCTTTATCAAATAAAAGAACGTGATTCATTATGAAAAATATTAAATGGTTGCTTATTAAATCTTTACCTGACACTCTTAAATCTACTGGATAAAAATAGTTGAAAGATTCTTTACATTTCTTTAAAATCTCAATGGGTTGATCTAAATCAATATTAGACTTATTTTTAGTTATTAAATCATTCTTTAATTGAGATTCATCAATTTCATTAAAAATAAATCTATAAATTGATTCACATACAAGTTTTTTAGGAAAAAGCTCATCTTTACCTTCTAAATCACTAAATAAATAATGTTTAAAAGTATAAAAAGCCATATAAATTGTAGAATCACTTAATGAATCAATTAGATATTCTTTGTCCCACGGTATTTTAGTTCCTAATCCAAATGTTCTACTGCATGCCCATTCTTTAATCCAATCTATTGAATCAATCAGTTTACTTTTAGTATCCTCTGTACACTCAATATTCTTCATACTCTCATATACTTTATCTTTCCATGCTTCATCATTGTAATTAATGAACCATTGATCTACTAAACCAACAACACAATCCCCTCCTGCTCGTGACTTTACATATCCTTCTGGTATGTACAATCCTATGAAATGTTTATTTTCTAACAACTTTAAAGTTGGTTTTACTGAATTGATATCAATATTAATTAATTTTTCTTCTTCATTATTATCACTGGTTATTTTAATAAAACTTGTTTTTACATTCTCAATAACCTTTATATTATCAAAATAATCTTCTAAATAACATTCTGATGGTTCACCTATTTCATCTAGTTGGTATTTTAGATTGTTGTAAATATAATCTTCCATTAAGTATAATTGTTTATCAATCATTGTTTTCACAACATAAGTATTTTCACTTATAACTATTTGATAGTTTTTAGTAACATTCTTAGTGATATACTTATTCTTATTAGGTATGAGTAGTATAACATTATTTTTCTTAAGTTTAAAACATTCTAAAAATATTGGTTTAATTCCTTCACCTATTCTCCTATCATGATCAAGACATGGCTGATTATCAATGGGACAAAATATAGAATGTTTCTTACCAAACTTAATCACATCCAATGACTTGAGTTTTTTAAATTGATACTTTACAAAAGCATCATAATATGGATTAATTTCAGTTGTAATAAATGATCTTCTCCAATCAATCATACTATCAAACCCAATCAATGATTCTTTACAATATTTAGGAAATGTTCTGCACCAGTGATAAGGATCAGTGAATTTATAAATTGGCTTATTCTTTTCATATGTAGCATCTTTTATACCACAACCAGGACATAACAACATAAAGTTTTTAACATTCTCACTACTGTTATTACTCATGTTACCAACTAAAACTTCTAAATATTTACATTGATCACAACACTCTAAAGAAAATCCTAATGACTTCAATATTTCTATTATAGACAGATCAACCTTATTACCTCTTATTTCTTCCTTTAATTTCTGAGCTGATGCTGATATTGGCATTCCTGTACAATGAAATGCAAATGGAAACAATACATTATAGCCTTGTAATTCCTTAAAATGTGCAAATATATCTGCTTTAGAGAAAGAATAGAGGTGACCTAAATGTAACTTACCATTCATGTATGGATAAGGGAATGTTATAAAGAACTTCTCTCGCGTTTCATCTACGTTTGTTTCTACATTTCGATGTATTTCTACAGAATTTAAGTAATCTAATTTAGTTGTGTTATGTTTATCTTCAGTCATTGATTTTTTAATTTATGGGTTAAAAATTTTTTTTATAAAAAATTAACTAATTTATAAATTTATTTTTTAAAAATAGAATTAATAATACTCATTACATCATATTATAAAAAAATTGTAAAATCATCTTATTGTTTTATTAATCTTTTATAAGAGTTATAAATTGAAACAAAAAAATGTATATAAATGAGTATATAAGAAAAATTTGTAGTGTGAAAAAGAAATTGGTTTTTTATGGAGATAAAATTCTATTTATAATATAAATTTTTTGTATGTTTATAAAAATTATATAGGTTTACTTGTTTAACGTTAGGTATTCTACAGTTAATATTAAGATCTTATTTTTCATTTAAATTATTTAATTATTAAAATTAAAGACGATATATTAGTTAAAAACAAGTGATTGTATAAGTTAAACTTTGATTTAAATAATATAGAAGTTACTCTAATTAATTAAGATTTTACTACAAATATCATTAACTTTATTAAGATTAATAAATATTTTCTACATATAATAATGATATTATTTTTAAAAAAGTAAGAGTAAGACAAAATTTTTAAAAAATTTGACGTCAATGCTAGTGTTTTGGTTAACATTAGCAATTTAAATTGATTTTCTTTCACAATTTTTTATAAACAAATTGTACATTTAAATCAATTTATTTAAATAAACTTTTTAAAACACAAACAAATATCTTCAGCTTTAAATAAATTTTACTTAACTAATTATAAAAAATTAAAATAATAATTACTTAGATTTAAGAAAAAAACACAAAACAACCACCTTTCAACATTACAGCATTCGAAATACATGTTTAAATATTAATAAATCTTTCTTCATTATAAAATATCACAATAAATTAATTTATTTTTAGTTAATAAAAAAAAGAAGTCAAAATACATCAAAAGAGAAATTTTTTAAAACAATAAAATAAAATTTTTAAACATTAATAAAAAACTATTTACATTAAATATTATAACTACTATTAGTGTCTTCACTCGACACCAGTTTTATTAGTCTCTTCGGTTTGATTAAAACTTATATTCAATATTTCATCTCTCATATTTCATTTACTAAGTCGTTAAGATTAAATTTTTATTATAATTTTTAGAAACTTTTAACCTTAAAATTCCTTAGGTAACAACTACTATTAAAAATACAAATAAATTAATTCATCATGACTTAAAATCATAAAAGCTAAGTTTTTATTTAGTTGTCAAAAGGGGTATTTATTTGATAAAAAAGTATTAACCCGTGTAGGTTAATAATACTGAGGCAGAAAGAGACATGGATTTATGATGCAAGATAATGACAATGGAGTTGAAAGAATAAATAGTAAAGATAAACCCGATAGTGATAGACTCAATAAATTTAATTATTTATCTTCTACCAATTTTGGCAATCTCATAAAAATAATCATTTCTTTTATTTCTTTTCAAATATTTTCATGAATAAAAATATTTGAAAATTTTTAAAAAAAATCTATCAATTCAATTTGACATGTTTTAGCAACTGTTAATTGGTAATTATGTTAATCAAAATAACACAAAATATAAATCAAATTGTATAAATATTTATTTTAGAAATTAAGATAATAAATCAATTCTTAAATCAGAAATAAAGGATTTTAAATTTTTAACCCCATGAATACCGTAGTTCATCTGATAAAAGAATATTATGCAATAATTTTTGTAGTTTTTGTTATAATCGGAATACTTATAACAGGATTTTTAATATTTAATGTTCCAAATGATAGTTTAGATTTATTAAATAAGTATCGTGATGTGATGGTTGCAAAAATTAAAGCTTTAGAAAATAACTGGTATAATTTCAATAAAGATGAAGAAGAAAAAATATTTAAAGATGTTATTTATATAAAAAGCAAGAAAAATAAAGATAATTTTGTGAAAAATTTAATTAATTTGATAAAGGAATTGGAGGTATTAAAGGGAATTAAAGAAAAATTTGATAAAGAAATAGATGGTGCTATGTATTTTAATGATTCAATGATTAATGTTAAAATTTCTGAATTAAAGAAATCAATGGATGAAACCTTTTTGTTTCATATAAGAAAATTCGAAAAGGAATCTTATGGTTTTTCACTAAAATTACTTAATTATTTCGTTGATGAAAATTAACTTTTTAAAAAAGTTTATTAAACTTTTAATTAAAAAATTATTTTACTTTTATTCATAAATTTAAAGTTTTTTTCTAAAAAAAGACATGAAGTAGTTAATTTTATTAAAATTAAACTCTTTTTCTATAAGATATAAAATTCTTGTAAACTATTTAAATATGTTAATCTTAAACATAATATTAAAATGATTTTTATCAAATGTCGATTATTTAAAAAATGATTGAAATTGATTTATTAAATGAAAGTGTTATAAGTAAGAAGAGTATAAAAGCATATGATTCAGACATATAAGTTAATACTTACATCAGCATAGGATCTGGGATGATTTAGTGAGAAGATTTACAAACCTACCAACAGTTGTATTTATTATTTTCTAACATTAAATAAACTAAGTTATAAGTATGATGGTTTAATATTAATAAAATTATTTTATAATCTTTTAGTTAAACAAATCAATATTCATTACTAAAATTTTATTTTTTTGTAGATGATATAATATACTATTTACATTAATTAATAATATGAAATATGAATAATTTTAATTATATAATAATATTT